TGCTCGGGGGGCGGTAGAGCCGTACCCGGATTTGCGATAAAGCGAAGCTCGAAGGACCAGGGGAGATGTGTAAAGTCTCCCCAAAGCGAAAGTTAAGTTAAGCAAATGCGACTCACCGTTCGTTGTGCCGTCGACTCCTGGAGGCTTCGTCTCGGTCGCGATCGGGCTCGTGCAGCAACGCAGGCAGGGCAGCAAGCAAGGCGAAAGCGAGGCAGGCAGCAGTAAGTTAAGGCAGGCAGCAAGCAAGCAGGAGGAAGCAGGTAGAGGTAGCACACAGACAGGCCGAGAAAGTAGGTGATCGCACTATCCGGGAGCGAGCGGATGATCTCGCGGCTCCGAATATTAGCACAAGTTTCTCTGCTCCGATAATCTCTCCGTGCTCCGAGACGTCGTAACGATGAGACGTCGTAACGATGAGCCGGCGTAACGATGAGTGCCGAGAGCTCGCGGCGCTGGAACAGTGTCGCGAGCGAGTACTTGTTCTTCAGGCGGGTGCCCTCGTGGGGTGAGCGAGGGCAGCACCGATTGGTGAGTCGCGCAATTATCGATTCCGCGTTGATCGCGATCCGCCGACGTTTCGCGCGAGTCACCGAAATACTTAAGACTAGGTACGCAAGAATATTATGTACAACGAGTAACGAGACTAAACAATTAAGTATGATACATGCATCTATCTACAGTTTGGTGAGCGCCAAACATACCGCCCACCAAAATACAATGAGTTGTATTTTACTTTCAATTGGAATCGGTCGCCTGTGGAGCAGGGCCCATCGGTAGGGGGCACAGCTTCACTAGGGGACGCGTGATAGTGCCGTCCGCCACCCGCACCGTGGCGACACGCGGGACGCCGTCGCTGCCCGGATGCAGCGCCTCCACTCGTCCTCGCCTCCAACGCAGAGGAGGCATGTTGGCGTCCTTGAGGAGGACTAACGCACCGACACCGAGCGGGTTGACTGAGGTCCACCATTTGGGACGCTGTTGCAGCGTATGGAGATACTCCTGATGCCAGCGCTTCCAGAAGTCTTGGTGTATTCGTTGGACGAGTTGCCACCGACTCAGCCGATTCATCGGTAACGGGGTCACGTCTTGAGTGGGAACGGAGACGAGCGGTTCCATCGTGAGGAAGTGACCCGGCGATAGGACTTCGAGGTCGGCAGGGTCGGTGCTCATCGGGCAGAGGGGTCTGGAATTCAAGACGGCCTCGACCTGCGCGAGGACCGTCGTAAATTCCTCTATTGAGAGGACTTGATCACCCACGGTCCGCCGCAGGTGGGTTTTAAAGGTCTTGACTCCCGCCTCCCAGAGGCCCCCGAAGTGGGGCGCGGAGGGAGGATTAAAGGACCACTTGATTTTCTCTCGCTCCGCTGCGAGGCTCATGCGGCTTTCTAGTTCCCGTGCGGCCCCTACAAAATTCGTTCCGCAGTCGCTGTAGAGAAGCGAGCAGCGTCCGCGTCGGGCCACAAAGCGTCGCAGCGCAGCGAGGAAGGAGTCGGTGGACAACGAGAAGGCGGCTTCCAGGTGCACCGCCTTAACCGAAAAGCATACGAAAAGGCACGCGTACACTTTGACGGAGGAGACCCCCCGGGCTCGTCGCGTAACTATGTTGAAATCCCGCGAAATCAACGCCGCTGATCGAAAATGGCTTGGCCTGTCGGACCCTATCGGCCGGTAGTTCCGCCATGAGGGGCTGAGAGGTGTGTGGCTTTACGCGGAAACATTGATGACATCTCGAGAGTACGCGTTGTATAGCGCGATGCACCCCGAGGACCCAATAATGTTGCGTGAGCAGGTATTGCAGCGTGCGCCGACCAGGGTGCATGTTCGTGCGGTGCACGTGTTCGATAACGAGATCTGTGAGTCTATGTTTACAGGGCAGTAAGGCAGGGTGCTTGTTCTCGAATGTCAATCCGGATTTTGCAAGCCTGCCGCCTACCCTGAGAATACCCACCGGATCAAGGAAGGGAGCGAGTTTGCGAAAGGGCTTGGGGAGCCTTCTCCCGCTTTGAAGACGATCGATCTCATCGCGGAAAGCATCCGCCTGTACACTCTTCACAACGAGTAGTAACGCGGAATGCAGTTCGAGCTGATCTATGGCCAGAGTCGTAGGAGCAGATTTTGCACGGGAGTGATGTACAAACCTGAGAATGTATGCTATAATTCGGCCAATTTTCTCGATTGAAGAGAATCTTTCGAGCAATGAATGTACCGCGTCAGGCGGATCGAGCGCCACGAGCGATACGATTTTCTCCTCCTCGATCGGAGGGGTTTCCGAACCGTGGGAAGGCTCAACTCGGGGTTCGAAGTGAACAAGCCACTCAGGGCCCGCCCACCACATCGAACTGGCCACCAGATCGCGAGGATAAAGCCCGCGGGAGCAGTGATCCGCCGGATTGGACTCCGTGTCGACGTGACCCCAAGCTGATACTGGCACGTTGTCCTGAATGAGGGCAACGCGATTTCTAACGAAGGTCTTCCACCGTTGTGGTGCTGAGCGGATTCAGGCCCGGGCGACCTCGGAATCCGTCCAAGCATACTCGTCGTCAATGTCAAGGTGTCGAATATGCGCGCTACTTCCGACAGTATAGTGCGTTTGGTGCACTCACGACCCAACGCGTTGACTTGAAACCCGAAACTGTCAGATTGTGAGTGCCACCGAAGGCCCAATATCTTCTGAGATTGATCCTCGCTTGACTCGAAATCTAACATTGATTGGCTACATAACTGCGGGTCGAGGCCCTCCAGCGCGGCAGGATGGCTGCTCGACCACTTTCGAAGCTCGAAACCGGCGCTTCGGAGAAGCGATAGCAATTGGTCGCGGAGTGCACGAGCCTGTTCCACCGTCCGAACGCTTGTCACGACGTCATCCACATACAGCGCCTCGAGTAGGGCTGCGAACGCTAGAGGATATTTCTCGCGGTATTGATGAGCTAACTGGAGCAAACAATAGATCGCCAAGAACGGGGAGGCGCTAAAACCGAATGTAACTGTTTTGAGGAGATAGTCGAGGATGGGGTCCGACTCCGAGAAGCGCCAGACGATACGTTGGTAGTTGCATTGCTCCGGGCTTATCCAAATCTGGCGAAACATCTGCTTCACGTCCGCGGTTAGAGCGATCGCTTCGGCGCGGAACCGAAGCAGGATGGCGAGCAGGTCCTGCTGCAGCTTCGGACCGCTGAGCAGGGTGTCGTTGATCGACAGACCGTCCGGGCCTCGCGAGGACGCGTTGAACACTACCCGCAACTTAGTGGTAGTGCTATCGAGTTTATACACACCGTGGTGCGGTAGATAATAAGTGTGGCCATCCGACGGGAATGGATTGCGAATTACCTCCATGTGTCCGCTATCGAGATAGTCCCGCATGAAACTATTGTAACCAGCTCTGAATTCCGGATCAGATTTAAATCGACGTTCTAGTGCGCGGAGACGACTAACCGCAATGGAGCGCGAGCCGACGAATGTAGGAGGATCCGACACGAACGGGTACGAGACCACGAAACGACCCGAGGGGTCACGATACGTGGTCTTGGCGAAGATCTCCTTGCAGCGTCGATCCTCGTCCGAACAAGAAGCGTCCTCCGGCACCTCCTCCAATTGCCAAAAGCGACCCACCGATGTCGCGATCGACTCGAGCGTAGTCGCGAATGACCTCAGGGGCGCTGCCTGGACTGATGGGGATACCGCGCCCGTCAGAACCCATCCGAAGACTGAATTGAAGGCGTCGGGTTCTCCCCTTTCCCCTTTACGACGGCCCTCCCGTAGCACCGACACAAACGAGTCCGCCCCCAGGAGGATGTCAACACCGCCGGGCACGAAATATTCGGGATCCGCGAGCGGCAATCCCTTCAAGTGTTTCCACGGCTGGACCTCCACCTTGTCATTAGGCAGCGGCGAGGTTATGCGCGAGAGGACCGTAGCCTCTATCGAGAACCGAGTGTCGTCGCGACCGCGCGCGCGGATCACGAGGGAGGTGAGGCCCCTCGTCGTGGCCGCCCTGGCTTCGTTTATCGCCAACACGGTTGCACTGTGTTTGGTGCGACGAAAGCCGCCCTTCCGGAGGCAGCCCTCGGTAATAAAGTTGGCCTGACTCGCGCTGTCCAGCAATATGCGTACGGGGAACGCATTGCCACGCGCGTCTATCGCCTCGGCTCGTACGGTGGACAGGAGGACGATTCTATTGGCCCGGCTAGTCATTATTACAATCGGCGCATCCTCCGACTGAGGAGCGGGTACGGCGTCCGGTTCGGCGGGAGTCGCGCTAATGGGTTCGGGCTTAGGAGTAGTATTAGAGCTCTGCTCGTAATGCAGAAGCGTATGATGCTTCGTGCCGCAGGACCGACATGCCCACGCGGACGGACAGTCTTTCATGCCATGCCCCGAGCGCAGGCAGTTGAGGCACAATCTCAAGTCGCGAGCCTTAGCCTGCCTCTCCCTCGGCGAGAGTTTTAAAAACTGGGAGCACTTCGACACGTAGTGAGACTCCTTACAAACGGGGCAACCGGCCGCGTTAGTCACGAACGAAGAGACCGGTGTGGACTTGGTTTTGGAGGACGGGCCCGCGACGGCCTCGAGAACCTGACAATGCTCCGCTAGAAATTTCGTGAGTTGTGTATATCGCGGTATCTCCTCAGCCCGGTGAGCCGACTCGAATTTTTCCCGAAGGGAACGAGGAAGCTTGTCTAACAAAAACTTCAGTAGGATAAAGTCCCATGAATTGGTAGGGAACTTCATCAATGCGAGCGCGCGCGTGTTCTCGGTAAACGTATCTAATAAGTGGTGAAGAGCCTCGGCCGTCTCCGCCTTCAAGGCTTTGCCTCGATTATCGAATTCAAGTGATGGTCCGCTAACCTTCTCTTATTCCGGTATTGATCGACCAGCGAGTCGTAAGCGATCAGATAGTACTCATCGGAAAACGGCAGGTTTTTCACCACGTTGAGTGGTTCCCCTTTGAGTGAAGCCAGCAGATACTGGTATTTCTCTATCGCGGAAATCTGCTGGTTATGTATCGCCGCGTTGAACAACGCGATGAAGGAAGGCCACAACGTAAGGTCGCCGGAAAACTGCGGCAGCGGGATCTTAGGCAACTTGACCACCGAGGCCGGACCCGAGGGCTGTGCCGGCGCGCCTCCGAATGGCGCGCCCGTTTCACGGTGATATCGACTCTTTACGGCGTAATGCATTTTATCGAAACTGGCTCGGATTTCGTCCTCGGCCTCGAAATCCGCCGCTTCTTGGATGACCTTCAGGTGGATGGCCTCAAAATCGTCCGCGATCTTCGCTACGCTCGAGTAGCGAGCGAGGAAGGTCGCTCGTATTGCCGCGTCGGTCGCGGCTTGTAGGGAGAGGTCGTGTATTTCTTGCATACGCCGATTGCATACTTCGCGACGAGCGTATGCGTTTTTCGACATGATGTAACAAAGGGGTCGTCTACCACAGACAGACGAAGCTAAGAGCGAAGGGTAAACGACGAATAGGCAGTCGGAGGCGACGGCAACTCGAACCAACAGTATCGAAACCCGGCGAAAACAATCACGAAAGTCAGGTCGCCAAGGTGAGGGGTAACGGACGGCTCCGTTCGGCGCTCGCGCAAGTCCCGAGGGAATATTCTCGATAATATTCCTCGAGTTGAACGCGGAGAATATCAGCCGTTGGATTAGTGCGATAAACACGCGTCGCAGAGTTCGAAAGGCAAATATTCTCGATCGGTGACAATAATATTTTCGAGCGATGGTACTCTCGGACGGATCACGAATGTCGGGATAATACAAGTGCTGGGTCGGGCTGTACGTACCTCGCAACGACGTAAACACGAGCGATGCTCGAGACTATACAGAAAAACAACGCGCGCGAGACCGGCCCGTAATCGAAGGCCACGGCCGTTGTCTCTATGCGCGAAAGTATCGCTAGCCCGGAATACTCGGATATTCGACCGAATATTTCGGTTACGATCAAGTCAATTAAATGTCGACTAATTACCGCGGCGAGCGCGGATTCGATTTTAAGGCGATTAACGGCTGCGGCCCGAGCTATGACGAACGAAGTTCGCACGCGTATTCCCGTTGCGAAGCTAGCGCTGCACGAGAGATACCGCGCGAGACACGAGTTGTCAGCACGCCGAGCGTTATTGCACCTCGTTAATGCGAGAATAAGAATTCAGCGAATTCGCGTAGATTACAGGCGGCTAATGGCCGATTGCGCGATGCTACGCGAGAATTCCCTTCGCGAAGCGAGCGTTGCTATACGGGAGATCCTGCGAGACCCGCAAGGTCACGCGCTATTGCACTACGGGTTACAGAAAGATTCGGTGACTTAGAACAATGAAAGGACACGCGAAAGGTCGGCGGTAATAGACTAATCGCGAAGATATGATGATCCGGCTCGAAGGACCAGATGCTCGGGGGGCGGTAGAGCCGTACCCGGATTTGCGATAAAGCGAAG